AGGCAAGAGAGGAGATTGCTGGGGCCTTGACCAAGATTTTTGGATTTCGTTAGTGAATGGAGAGGTCTACACCTTGTTATCTCAGATTGTCCAGCATCGGCAGTTCCTACTATCTTTAAAACTTAAGGAGTTGTGATCATTGTAGTATATCAGTGGCTGCAAAAATTTTAAATAGGACAGATTAGATAGGGGAGGGAGTCTGGAAATCATTTGACTAAAAGTTAAACTTGTTGTATCATCTGAATGGTGAGTCATGTTCTGGTGTATAATATACAGTCTAGGTTACTTTAACTCAATATGAATATAAATGCATTAGAAAAAATTCAGAGAAGAATAAACAGGAAAAGATATTTGGGCACAGCTCGACTTGTATGGGGCTTCTTAAAAGAGTGCAAAAACATGTAATGATCCCTGTTAAAATAATCATTCATGGACTTGTGATAGGAAAAAAATTGAAGACCTGTTTCTTTCAGAGATCTAGACTTCCTGATGAGCACATATCACGTTTTCAGGAAAGCAATGGCTCTTGCACCTACTAATGCATTTTAATTGATTATTTATACTTTTCTCCTGTCCCAAATTAGGTTTATTTTCTGTTCTCCTGCTTTTCCTGCCAAAGTAATGAGATATTGCAGGCCTCCTTTACCATTTCTGTCTTTCCAGTTTTAAGCTCGCCACCAGGAGAGCGATCAGATCATAATTTGCATGACAGTTTCTTTTTTTTTGCAATATCTGTGGAAGTCTCCAGCCCTTGTTTTGGATAATATGAAAAAGCTTGTGAGTTCACAATACAAAGAATAATGGGGATAAGTCAGCATTGTAGCTCTTCATGACACAGTATGTCGATAATTTAATTGAATTTTGTTGAAAGGCATTTTAACGAATTGGAAATGTATCTTAAGCTAATAACAGTTCAACCTATTGCTAGCACATGTGATAGTTTTATAGGTATGCATTGCAATGCATGATTTTTTTTCTCATTTCAAACCATTGTGGATTTTCCAGGTTAATTCAGGAGGAAAAAGAGTCAACTGAACTTCGTGCAGAGGAAATTGAGAATCGAGTGGGTAGTGTTAGCCTTGAAGGTTTAAATTTGGCCAGAATGCATCCAGTGAGATCTATTACAGGTTCTGCCACTGCTTCATCATTAGCTAGCTCCTCCCCTCCAATCAGTGGACATTCAACACCCAAATTCAGAGCACGTAGCCCTGCCCGAGACATTGATCGTATGGGCGTCATGACATTGGTGAGTTTGGGGATGAAGCCTAGTTCAATGGGTTATTTTTAAATTTTAATGCAAATGCTGATACATGTTTTTAACAGCACTAATGTGTATTTTCATAGCAAATTATTCATGATCGCACAATATAATCTACAGATAAATCTTGTGTATTTCAACTTTTTAGATCACAGAAAGCATGGGCCTTCATCATAGTTCAAGCTTAACATAGAGACTTACATGATATTTTTGAATGGAAAATCTAGGAGTCTAGGTTCCCAAGCATGTTCGAAGCGCTGGTTATAAACATCTCTATTGGCTTGTTATGTATGACACATGGTAAACACTTATTCAAAGTCAAATTGTAAAATGAAATAATATTTTCATTGGCATTCTGCATTTCCAGCTTAATTTATGTCTTTGCTCTTTTGCAACCATCAGCCAAGTGACCTAAGGAAGCATCGGAGAAAGGTAATTACATTTACAACATTCCATAAGAATGGTGTATGTTTAGATTTTCAAGACAGTTGTTCTTTAAGATCCACATTACAAAACTTTGAGGATAATTTCATATTTATCTAATGTCATTATTTTTTGTTCAATATTGCTGAACGCATTATTTTCAGATTATTTATGGTTATATATGAACAAATAGTGCTATTTATCAGATTATTGTCATATTTAAATTAACTTAGCCAGCACTTGCAGCCAAAACATTGCACAGTTTCAAGAAGGAGTTGGATATAGCACTTGGAGCTAAAAGGATCAAAGGATATAGGGGAAAGGAGGAACAGGCTATTAAGTTGGATGATCAGCCATGACCAGGAACAGGCTTGAAGGGCTAAATGGCCTACTCTTATTTTCAATATAAATATATCATATAGATATAAGGAGGTTTAAATAACGACAGAAACTAGTATATGATTGATGCTATTTTTTTATTCTAGATTGCAGCTGTGCAGGAAGAAGGTCGTGAAGATAAAGCCACAATAAAATGTGAAACATCACCACCATCAACACCAAGAGCAGTAAGAATGACACACACCCTGCCCTCCTACCATGATGAAGTACGTAGGTAAGCCATCAGGAACAGAGATCTTTGCCTATCACTTGATTTGATAATTGAATTGATAGGTTTACCTATTACATCATTTTTAAAGTATACCATGTTATTATACATCATCAGTTTATCAATAAATTTGATGTGTCTAGGGTAATATACAGAAATATTATGAGATAACAAGGTGTAGAGCTGGATGAACACAGCAGGCCAAGCAGCATCATAGGAGCAGGAAGGCTGACATTTCGGGCCTAGACATCATCATTTCTGATGAAGGGTCTAGGCCCGAAATGTCAGCCTTTTTACTCCTATGATGCTGCTTGGCCTGCTGTGTTCATCCAGCTCTACACCTTGTTATCTCAGATTTTCCAGCATCTGCAGTTCCTACTATCTCTGATACAGAAATATTATGTTTGATTATTCCCAGAACTAAGTGTTTCAGTGAATCGTATTTTTCTTCTTCATGGAAAGGTTATTTTTGGAATAAACTTAAAGAGACACTCCTGTGAATAGTTCTTTTTCCTCACACTGAACTTATGGTTAAGAGTTTAATTTAGAAAATAAATTTTTCAGTGATTATTTTGCTTCATTTATAAGTTTGAAAATGTTTGTAGAAATGAATTGTTGATTTTTTAAAAACATTATTTTATGAATATAGTTACATTTATAATTTGAATTTTTTGGTACTTTATATGTGACACATTGCATGATTTATAAAATGTTATGCTTGGTGATCCATTCATTTGTATGCATTTGCTGAAATCTTTTTTTAAATCAGTCGAAATATTTGAATGAGAAGAAATGAGATGACATGAAAATTTTTGAACTGATCTTTTACAGTTTTTCAGCATCGATAGAAGCAGAAATGGGCAACTATAGCAGTACAAGTAGCCAAGACTCACTTCATAAAGCGCAAAAGAAGAAAGGAATCAAATCTTCTATTGGCCGTTTGTTTGGCAAAAGAGAGAAAGGACGGTTAGCACATCTTAGCAAAGACCATTTGGCCTCAGTTCAAGGTCAGCAACTGGTTTATCAACGGTCATTTTGCTATAGTGGATTAATAGTTTCTCAATTTTATAAAATACTAACATCTGTGTATGTAATTGTCTTTCTTTAAACTAATTTTGTATAAAACTTGAATTTGAAATGCTAGAAAGAAGTTTATTGTCCAGTTTGACATTCTAATTTAGAAAAACATAACTGCAGCAACTGTGGTTTATTAGATACTATAACATTTTATTTATCACAATTTGCTAATAAATAAGAACATTTTCAAATGTTCACTTTAAGCCATTCTTTGTTACTCCTTGTGAGATAGGAGTTTTTTTTTGTTAGGAATCAATTCAAATAAAACCTAAATAAAAACTAGTTCTGATTAGTTCTGTATTTCCTCTGTGAGGCAACCTGAAATAAATATTCCTCATTAAAATATTGTCAAAAATACTTGTACCTGATCAAACTTGTAATATTCTGTAATTCTTCATTCCTCTCTCCATAGTCTGCAGATCTTCAACTTTACTTTATTGCCTTTACCTTGTTGCCTGTACTTTATACAGAATGGTATCCTTTTATTATTTTTTATTGTTTAAATTTATTTGTAGAGATTATGTCTTAACAAACCTAGAATATCCTTATAGCCTACTGTTGTCCTAAACACTGTTTTCACTTCTCATCTCTGCTGAAAATCTTAAAACCAAGAACTTTATAATCCCAGAGACAACACAGTGTGGAGCTGGAGGAATACAGCAGACCAGGCAGCATCAGAGGAGCAGGAAAGTTGACGTTTCGGGTCGGGACCCTTCTTCACTTCACCTTAAATAGGAAACTGTTATTTGTAACTGTATCCTTAGTTCTTATTCTCTCCTATAGGAGGAAATATCCTCTTGGTATCCGCTCTGTCAAATTTCTTATTGTTATTCATTTCAGTCCAGTGATGTGCAGGCTAGGTGGACTGGCCATGCTAAATTGCACATAGTGTCCAGGAACATGTGAGCTAGGTGGATTGGCCATGGCAAATGGTTTCAAGGATAGGGGACGGGGGTTGGTTTGGATGAGATTTTCTTCAGAGGGTCGTTGTGGATTTGATGGGCCAAATGGCCTACTTCCACACTGCAGGGATTCTATGATTCTAACCCTCATTCTTCTAAACTGTAATGGGTATAAACCCAGCATATTCAGACTTTCTTCGTAAGCCCTTCTTCCCAAGAATGAGTTGAATAAACCTTCTCTGAATTTTTTCTCATGTAATTATGTACTTTTTCAAATAAGTGGACCAAACTGTACACTGTACTCGAGACGTCTTATTACCAAGGCCCAGTACATTTGCAGCAAAACTTCCTATCTTGTATGTTCCATTTCCCTTGCAATGGACTCCAACCCTCTTTTTGCCTTGCTAAACTGAGTTTGCATGATTTTTCATTTTGTTTCAATGTACCCAAACCTCTATTTCACTTAGTTTGCAGTCTGTTTGTAATGATCTGTTTCTTTATTCTTCCTGCCAAAATAAGCCATGTTAGCATTTCCTATTTATGTTCCATCTATCAAATTTCTGCCAACTCAATTAAGCTATCTATATCCATTTGTTGACTGTTTACCTCCTGACAACTTATTTTTCATCCTATCTTCCTAATATTAACGGATGTAGTTATAAAGCTTCCAGTCCCTTCATTTAAGTCATTGACATAGATTGCAAGTAGTTGAGACTCCAGCATTGCTACCTGTGGCACTCCATTTGCCACCCTGAAAATGGTCCATTTATTGCTAGTCTGTGCTCTCTGTTAGCTCACAAATCATTTATCCATGCTAATATGTTACCACCTACACCACGAAGTCTTATTTTGTGTAGTAACATTTGATGTGGGATGTTATGAAATGTCTTTGGAATTCCAGTTACACCATATCTACATGATAGTCTTTCTCCATTTTCTTTCACTTCCTCAAATAACTCTGTCAACTTGATTAAACATGATTCCCCTTTCAGAAAACCCTGTAGACATTGTATAATCACATTATGATTTTATACCCTGCTATAACCTCCTTTCAAAATAGATTATAGCAATTTTGCTATGTCAGATGATATACCAACTAGCCTATAGTTTCCTGAATGCAGCCTCCTCCTGACGTGAATGGAGGTGTTACATAACAAGCACAAAACAAATAAAATTGAATAGCATGTCATCTTTATTTCCACAATATGAAGTTTATACTTAATTGGCTAAGTATATTTCTCATTCTGTTCCTGTTACCCTGACCTTACACTTTCTTTCAACAGGCATTTTTGACACAGAAATTGGTAATCCAGATTCCCTTGGACTGGGAAAACTCGGAACTCAAGCTGAAAAAGATAGAAGATTGAAGAAAAAGTAAGTGTTCAGCAAAACAAAGTTTATTTTGACCATGAAAGAGAAACTGCAAAACATTGAGATTTTCAACAAAATTAATCTAAGTAAAATCATAAAATGTTTAGACAAACATATGTCTAGGATGACTTAAGGTGGCATGTGGAGGATTGGGGCTGATTACAGGCCAAAAAGAAAATTTACAGGAATGGCACCCATGGATACTTTATATCTGTCTTTTTCAAGGAGGAAAATGCTACCGATATCATGGTGAAAGAGGAAAAAGTTTAGTTGCTATGAGGTTTTAAAATTGCTAAGATTGGGGCATTAGGGAAGCTTTCTGTACTTTTATTGACAAGGCAACAAGGCCTGATGAGATACATCCAAGATACTGAGGGACATGAAAATTGAAATTGCAGAGATACCGGCAAATTTTTTTTTGCTCTTTGTTAGACTGGGGTAGTGCCAAAGGACAGGAAAATTGCGAACATTATGCCCTTATTCAAAACATGGTATAACCAGCGAATTCAGACTAGCCAGTTTAACTTCTGAAGTTGGAAAACTTCTCATAATAATAATTCAGGGCAAGATGTTAAATGGAAACATGTGGATTGATTAAGGAGATCAAACATGGATTTCTTAAGGGAAAATCATTTTTAACTAATTGACTGGTGTTTTTTGATGAGGTAACAGAAAGTGTTGATCAAGGCAATGCTGTTGATGTGATGTACACGGAAGGCATTTGTTACAGTACTGTACAACAAGCTTCTGGACAAAGTTAGAACTTGTGGAATAACAGAGACAGTAACAACACGAGTTTAAAAAAATGGCTGAGTGACAGGAAACAGTAATGTTCAGTGGATGTTTCTCAGACACACATACACTTCTAGAGAAAGTCTTCTGGGGTCACTGTTGGAAGTCTTGCTTCTTTGTGATATATGTTAATGGTCTAAATCTTGGAGTACTGGCCACAATTTGAAATTTTCCAAATATTTTAAAACCTGCAAGTATAGTAAACTGTTTGGAGGATACTGTAGAACTTCAAAAGGATGCAGACATATTGATGGAGTGAGCGGATGAGTGGCATGTGAAGTTCAGTGTGGAGGAGATAATACATTTTGGTCAGATGAACATGGAGAGACAGTACAAACTAAATGGTGTAACTCTAAGCAGGATACAGAGACAGAAGGAACCTATGTGAATCTCTGCATAAGCCTTTAAAGGTGGCCGTGCAAGTTGGGAGAATATTTAATAAAGCATAAAGTTTCCTAAGATTTTTTTTTAATCAGGGCATAGAGTACAAGGGCATGGAGATTATGTTGAACTTAGGCAAGATTCAGCCTCATCTGGAGTATTACATCCAGTTCTGGGTACCATACTTTAGGAAGGCTGTGAAGGCATTGAAGTCAGTGCAGACAAGTTTTGTGAAAATGCTTCCAGGTATGAGGAATTCCAGTTATGAAGATAGATTAGAGAAGCTAGGACTGTGCCCCTTGGAAAAGAGAAGGCTCGGACAAGAGATGGTTGAAGTATTCAAAATCATGAGAGACCTGGAAAGAGAAAATAAAGAGAAAATACTCCTACCAATAATAGAATCAAGAATGTGAGGGTTCAGATTTAAAATAATTTGTGAAAAAGCAAAAATAATGTGAGTTAAGGCTTTCTCACACAGTCAGTGATTAGGGTCTGGAATCTAACACCTGAGAGTGTGGTGGAGGTAAGTTCAATTAAGGCATTCAAAAGGACTTAGACTGTTAGTTGAAAAGGAAGAACATGCAGAGTTAAAGGGAGATGACAGGAGAATAGCACTAATTGAAATGCTCACCCAGAGAATCACGCAGACACAATAGGCCAAATGACCACCTTCTGCACTGTAACAATTTTATGATTTAATGTCTTTTTCACTTTTCCATGTAATGTGAACATCACTGTAAAGACCAGCATTTGTTGCCCTTTGCTATTTCCCTTGACTGGATAATGACAAGCTGCCATTTTGAATTCTTAAAGCCTTTGTATATAGGTACACCCACAGTCGTGTTAGGATGTTTCAGGAATAAATAAGCAATAAATACTCACTAATAGACAGCTAATAATTAATAATTTTATGCAGACTTCCATCAGACAATCTATAACATTAGGAATTCATATTAAACTTATAAATAAAGGGGTTCAAAAAATCCAAGTATTATCTTTTTAACTGTTATCTGTCCAATCTCCTCACTTGTCTTTTTTTTATTCTAAGTTTTGCTTGCTGTCTAACCTGAACTACCTATTTTCCATTGATAACACAGTTGAAACCTTTAACTAACTGTTTTCTTTAGATTCTCATTAACTATTATTCATAAGTATTTGTTTTAAACTTGACTTTTATTGGTTGAAAATTAGCTTCAAAAGTTATTTTATTAATTTATCAAAAGAATAAAGCTGAAAATTGATACAATCACAAAATGCAAATGCATCACTATTTTGAACATTTTATGAGTAAAAATAGACTAAAGTATTCAATCAAATTTGTTGGCAATCCCCCAGATCCAGTCCACACAAAGGGCAGAATTTTCTTTTTTTCAGTTAAAGAGATTTGTTGAGTGAAATTCATGGCACCTGGTCGCCATGGCTAAGAATGATTTTTCTCACGCGGTCTTCTGCTCATCATCTCATTAATTAAGCATGCAAGTACTGTGACTCATTTCTCAAGGAATCAAGTGGTTGGAAAGGCAGAAGTATTCACTATTCATGCAGCTGACACCATATTTAAAGTCTAGCTGCATACTATTTCAGATGCTGTAGCCAGCACTGTAGTGCTTGAGTTTTCTGCATTCAGGACTTGTCCCAGATGAAATAAAATAAATGTTGCTCCTTGCTTCATGGACAGGGATATGGAAGTCTTGAAAGAAGGGTGGTAAAAAAGAGGGAAGTTCTTTTCCCAGTTAACCAACACAGGAGGCCACATCACCAAACCAAGCCAACCTGGCCAGTAATTGTAGCCCAAGTCAGTGCTCTTCCCTGAATGAAGCAGAACACCCAGCAGTGTAGAAAAAACATCATTGATCTTCTGGGCTAAACAAGGATAGGCACCACTGTCTTCTCTCTGCTACCATATGCTCTGAAGGCCACTGTGCCACCTCTGAATGTCCCACTACACTTGAATCTCATGAAGGTTCATGGATGATAACTCTCAGAATTTCATGCAACGTGTCCATTCAACTGGTCTCACCGCCTTATCCTCCCATACGATTAATCTTTCCTGTCCCCTGCAATTCCTACTCACTTACTTGGGACATTTCACCACCTGTCATGCTCATGTATCACCATTAACTGCTCTTACATCCACTTCCATCATAATTAATCCTCCATTTGTCTCATTGCGGGAAAGTCTAGTCTACCTCCATATGCTGATATCTCCGCAGTACCCTGCCTGATCTAACTAATCTCTGGAGTGGAAGCACTTACTTGCAGAACTGACTGTGCCCCAATCCTAAAAGCAGGGATGTGGATCTCTGCATTTTGGAAGAACAAATCGCCTTACTGACCATGGCTAAAAACCCTGGACTGGAATCAGATGACCTGCTTGACTGACGGTGGCAGTATGCCTGACTGCCACAATGCCCCTTCACCCCAAGAAAGACTGGTCTCCTTTGATTTTTACTGATGGTCATTTGTTTGAGGTACTGGCAATGTGTTTGCCATGTATACTGCTGGCAAGTGCTACAGGCATGACATTGACATAGCACTGAGCTGCACTGCTATGTGTCCACCCCTTTGCTTGTTCAGTGCTTCCCATGTAATAAGCTGCCTGCCTGTCCTTCCATGCCAAAAAGCAATGCAAACCACAGAGGCCAGTAGCCTGTGACTACAGTAGAAACCTTGTGCACTAAGAAAGCAACGTGAGCCACACATACACCGACACCCCATAAGTCAGTATTGAACTCAGTGAATGTGTACTAAGCAAGTTGGTTGAAGACTGGACTTCATGATCTGGTCAAACTGGTGGCTTGCTGATATTGACTTGCATGGACAAAGGGATGAAGAAGGTGGTGGCCATGGAGCATGCACAGACATTGTTATCAAGAAGTAGTTGGATAATGAATGGGACAAGTACCCAGCAAGCTGCAGTTGCCAGGTTGTAATTGCTCTAATTTACATGTCAGGAATTTTCACCTTCTAGATTCTCACGGAAGGAAAAGAGTTTTGGAAGTGGCTGACAAACAAGGTGATATACTAGTTTACTGAGATGGAAATGCATGGAAATAAATTGATTGCTGCAGTCAGCATTTAATGCTTAAGGGGCTCATCATGAAACTTTCACTTCACATTGAGAATCAGATTTTCTTCATTCTTGCTGTATTATTTTAATTTACCTTTCTCAGCATTACTTATGCCGTATCAGGAAGAGGAAATGACTGCCTACAGACAAAACTCAATTCAGTTTTGGATTTGATAGAACATGTGTCCAAAGCACAACTCATTCTGAGCTGAAATATTTTGATAGTTTTATTTGTCAACTTTAATGTGTTTTTAGAGGAAAATTATATTTGATTATGAATGTCTCAAAAATTAAAAACCATTTCTGTCTTTTATCATATTGTTCTGATGTATCTGCCACACATTTATTCCATTTTCATTTCAATAACGTGATATGCTGATAAATCATAATCTAAGGCCTCGGCTACAAATGTTTCTCAATCACTTTTTAAAATTTTTTTCATAGAGCCCTCTAATGATGTATGTATAAAATAGAGTGAGATAGATCAACTCGATTAGTATTTTCTAAGATTATTAACAACTATGTCTTGTGAATTGATATTTCTCCGTTTTAAATAACAAATGAAAAAAAAGTGTTCTCATACAGAAAGAACACTTGAACTGTGATTGTAACATCTTCAGTTCTATGTACTTCATATAATGTAAATGTAAATTAGTACCGAATGGTCAGTGTATTGATTGTAATGAGGTCAGCCAGGTGGACATCTTAAAATATAAGTCCCCTGATTGGGGCTATTAATCTGGTCCAGTCAGGGAGCTCT